GTGGGGGGGGGGGGGGGGGAGGTTATGGAAACTCTCTTTGGGGGTCTTTGCATTGTTTACCCTTTCGTCGTCCGAAAAGCTTGTTTTCCGCAAAGGTTTGTTTTCTCCTTCTTTGTCATGAACGAAAATGAGTCATTCGTGGAGCTTGCTTTCCACGTTGAGGCGTGTGTTCTTTTTGTGCGTAGAACATTCTGCCCATTTGATTTGGCCGTCGTTGGCATTGTCTATCTACATCTACCGGGCATGCTCTTTTGAGCAGCTGTGATACGGGGTCGACCACTTTATTCATTTTGTCTTTTCCGTGAAATTGCAGGAAATGCTTTCCTCTCTCGGCGCACCACAGGCCAGCATTTCCAGGTCCGCCATCTCGTTCTTTGCTCTCCCTGTCACTTTTTGTGCAATCGACCGAGGCCGTTACCGCTGGCTTCGGTCCGTCCCTCTGCACCCAGTGTTTTCGGGCCCTGAACTCCCAGTCAGTGCTTCAATTGGTCAGGGCTCCCGTTTGGCGCAGCATTCTTTTCCTCGCACGCTCACTCCCTCTTTGTTTGCACTCACTCATAGATCAGCAGTCATCCTCGCATGCCCCCGCAATCAACCATCGTCGGTGCTGTCATCCATGTCATCACCCACGCGTTTCCGCGAGCAGATATCCCTCTCTTTCCGTGTCCCTCTCTATTCCTCTCTCTCACACGCTCTTTCTCTACTCTCTTTCTCTCTCTCATGTGTTACATACAGCAGTAGTCACCTACGGTTCGAGGTTCTTCATTTGTTTTAGCCATGGTTCACGTTAGAAACTCATCTCACCAACATCGGGAAAATCACATAACACTCAAACATTACTTTACAAATTCCTCTCGGAACCGGTGAAAGCTGCGACATTGTATGCATTCAGCCGGTCATGCCGAAACACATGAACGTCGTCAGGAAAAGCACGTGACACAAACATCATTTCCTCGATGCCCACGTCTCATCAGTCGTGTCTCAAGCACAAAAACTTGTCTTGAGCACAAAAACACGTATCTTGGAATCGCCTCTCTAAAGCGTGGCGGCGGAAGCCGCCGAAACCCTTGTATACATACATTTCACGTTTCCGTGCACACTATGTCACACTTACCGAAGAAGCTGACACGCGGAAGTCGTGCACCCCCGGACAACCAACTCAAGAAGCCAACAAAAACACAACAGCAAAAGAAGGCATGGCCTCCCTTCTGCCGCTCGTATACCCCCCAACCCGGCATTTCGCTAGGTCCCCGCGATGTGAGGCCAATGGTCTAACGACAACGGCATGCGTTTTCATGAGTACACGCCCCCGCCCTCCCTGCTGCGACTTTCCGGAGCGCAGTGATCACGGACATGGGGGTATGTCCCTTCAGCGTGGACGCCTCTAGAGCGGGTCTTCCGGTGGGTCAGATCCGCTACCCGGTCACGAGGGAAACCACCGCGGAGTCGATCTACCGCGAGTACTGGCGAGAGGTACGTACGAACCCGTTTTGTTGTTTTCTTCCGTCATTTGACCTCGTGGCGTTTTGTTTTGTTTCGTCCGACGTTTGAGTTCGGCATAGTTAGAGGGGTTTTCATCCGTCGTTTGACATACCGGGGGGTGTTGTTTTTGCGTTCCTCTCCATCTGTGCACACCTTTCGAATCGTGTACTTGCAGCCCTTTTTTGCGTTTGGCGAGGGAAATGTTCACCCGCGGAAGGTATTTTTTTACTCATGATTGTTTTTGTTGTCCCAGGTTGTTTTTGTCACACTTTTGAAGTTTTTGCGTTGCTGCGCCTCTGCATCTGCGCACTTGTTTTGAATCGTGAAGTGTGGTCCTTTGGCTGTTTCGTGGTTGCCGTGGATGGCGTTTTTGTTGTTGTCAATCTTTGCGCCCCTCATCTACAGCTGCTGCGGTTCGTAAGCACGAAGTTCTCATCAGACGTTCGAGCGTTCGGCAAGTCCTCTGTTGCGAGCCAAGTCTGCGAGCTTGGGTGGAAGGGAGAAGACATGGCCTTGCCTCTTCCTTCATTTGCAAGCTGAAAGCAAAACAGCGACAGCCTGAGACCTGGCGCGCGGTAGAGGTCGCCTCAAAAAGGCCAGTCACCCTGTAAAGTGGGCCGGTGCAAGCGCGATATTCAGAAAGAATATTCAAGTTGCCTGTTTCTGACTGGTGCCGGGTGCCCGGTATTAGGCTAGCCAAGTCCCGTGGCACTACACGGTCTTGCGGCCGCGCCCTTTTTCGGGTGCCCAACACGACTGATGGTTGACAGGGTATGTATAATAGTTTTCTTGCTGAAGACCGACAGAAAAGCACACATCCAGGTATCTCATGCTCACCGATTGTTGAGATGCTTTGTGTTTTCCGTCTTTCTCGAGCCGAATATTCCTACCCCTCCCTGTCCGCAAACCTGTGGGGCCCCATTACGCCGGGAAAAAGCAGGGGGTTTGGCCGAGCACTCTCCTATCCTAAATTTGGCATTAACGAGGGTTGCGGAAGGCCTGGCTGTGGTTTTCTCGGCTGGTGTAGGACCAACGAACGTTGCTCAGTGTCGGACGAGAACGTTCTTGGTGCCAAAAGCTCCGTCGACCAACGGAAAAAAGGAGTGCGCCCCACCCAAAAAAAACTATCCCCCCCCCCCCTTCGCCCCCCCCGGTGTTTGCCATCGGGGTTGGGTTTTCGTCGCGTGGCAACGACGTTGTAAAACAAGCCAATTCACTTGGTGAACTCGGCAACCAGGTTACCGTTTTTTCTTTTAACTCCGTTTTTGTTTTTGGCGGTAGCCATAGTCTAATGGTGGTCGAGTAGATCATGTTGTGCGGGGTGGAGAA